CGGGGCTTGTGCAGCCAGAGCTTCAAGACGATCCATATCCTAAGGACAGTGAAGACGAACTTGAAGCCGAATCGGAGGGGGAAATTGAGGACGGAGTTGAGGATGAAGGTGAGGATGATCTTCCTGGATTGAACATAAATGAGGCGAGGAGCGCTCAGAATCTTGAACAAGACAACGAAGCGCCTGAAGTGAGGAGGACAGGAGCAGACGTAAACCAGTCATCTGTTGTCAATCGGAGGGGCAACGCATCTATAAATAGAGCCATACATACAGAGCCCTAGTAGCCACCTAGTTGGTAGTAAAACAAACGGATTGAGAAATGATATCTTGCTATGTGACAGTGCGCGAGACCCTATGATTAACTCAGGGCTTTCCGGCGTCTTTAACAATAACTTTATTTCTTTCAACGGCCAAGGTTGACATGCCATAGAGTATAATGTTCGCAGCTGCAACGAGCCTCGGGATATCTTCAGTTTCAGCTAGCGTAGTAGCTTTGGTTGAGATCCAACTGACCGAGCGGCTATACATACCTCCAGGCACACTGAAAGTCCCCCGAGCCAAGATGAAGATACAACTACCAGAGACTAGGAGGCGTCCAACTAAGGAATGTAACAAAGGAGAGGCAGGAGGTTTCCTTTCGCCCAAGAAGCTCATGTATCTATCCCTACTCTACCATAGATGTGCATGATCCCAGCCTTTAGACATCCCCGCATGATAAAGGTTTCTTGTCTCTTTTTCCAAAGTGGTTCGTGAAGGAACCTCCCAACTGTCACTTTCATCGAGGCGTATACGATTATGCGACTGGGGCGGAATCCTATTTAAGCATGACGTCTCTCTGTTGATGATCCTTTGACTGCCTTGGTTGTCGTTCCCGAGTACCTGATACTAGCGATCTGGAAACAAACTTCTGGAACCTGTGGCGCCGGAACAGCTTCAAACAGACTGCGATTGCACGGGTGTCATATATATGCGCTCCAACAGCACGTGTTCCTGTATAAAAGGCCAGCTTTCAGTCGCTCGAGTCTTTGAACTACGCCCTCAGAGGCTAGAACGCTTTCCTGTGTACATTCGTCTCCTCGGTAGCGTTTTGGCAGGCGCAGCTCCGGGCCCGGCGTTCCACCGCCTCGGAGTTCGGGTCCAATACCTTCAATCCTATTGTGGGGCCTCTGGTGACTGTGATACAAGGAAAGATTCAAGCTATTGACTACCTGACTGGACTGATTTAGAAGAATCTGTCTTCTATGTGACTAGAAGTGGTAACGAATATGTTCCTTAATTTGATAAGTGCTTCATTTTGAGCGCAGAAATAGCAGACTTCTGTCTATTTCATGAGTGGAAAACACATGCAGCTCAAGGCCTCACGGCTTCATCTTGTCTTGGTAAAGAATTTCGTCGCACTATTTGAAGGCGGCAAACAGTTACCATCGGCGTGTTTCCTCCCTTATGTCCGCAACGGTTCCGACAAGTTTAGCTGGTCACAGCCGTTGTCAAGGTTTTCTAGTCTCATGGATGACACGAGTAGTATCAACCCTCATCTAAAGATGCTGCGCCGTTTTTCAGTAGACGTTGATACCGGCAGTACGTTTCGCCATGCTTTCAGACCTTTGGGGAGAGTTTTGGACGAAAGGCCATCACCAGCCTCATTGCAATTTGTGTCCTCCGCATAAAGCTTGAAAGCTAGTCTTGGACACTCATCGGGGGAAGACCAACGGCCTCGGCCAGATGAAGGATGGAACCACACTGCGGCAAGGGTTGGTCTTGGCCACAAACATCCCGTCAAGCTCATTTTGTCCTCTCTCCCCAGAAATGGGCTCAATTTCTTGAATGCGATGGTATAGCCTTCGTCCATTACAAGCACTATCTCGAAGACGGTGTAATTTGACAGGCGGACTAGGACATCCTCGCTTCTGACCCTAAGCGGACGCTTCAATGTCGATGACGTGAGTCGCTCCCTTATGCTTCCCAACATAACCTTTGCAGTAATCTTTATGTGTCCTCCATTGCCCCAAAACGTCGACTTTTGCAGTGAAGCCCGATTTGGCTGGCTTGCGAGATGATGAAGCCAGCCGCATATGGTGCATTTCGATAGTCGTTTGGTGGCCCATGCCCTATTCTCGATAGCAGAGCTGTTTGTATGATTGTACAGAGGTCGAACTTGGACTCCGAGTCATGGGTGCACTGTAAGTTTCCTGGTCAACAAGAAGCGCTCTCGAGACAAGGCACTCAAGGGACCATGCATCAACCTCAAACCGGCTGGACAGCTATTATAAGCTTTCCCGCGTCACAACACACCCTCAGGTGGAATGTATTCAATGGGCAGGGGTGCGAAGATGATGGCCTGCCAGAGAAGCAGAATGGCTTGACTGAACGTTCGACTGTGAACCCCGCCCCCACCATTCAACTCGGAGGATTTATCAAGCCGATACCAGCGTAACAGCCCAAGCAGGATGCAGCTTGTTGAACCTCCAAGGGTTCTCCAACATTACCGAGCATCTATGTCCCAAACACCCTCTTGCGCTCGTATCTCGAATGTATGCATCCACACACGCCCAACATCGACGCGCGAGTTATCTTGAACTCTATTAACGTGCCTTCCAGAGGCAGAAGCACGATCGAAAGTTGCGACGCTAATCTGGACCTTCTCTTTGAGGGTCAATGTCTGCAGCATCTGTCACGCCGGCGTTTGAGAAATAATCACGGCTTGGGAGCGTTGGGAGAATTCGATAGCGTAATGGAGCTTGTCACCTGCAGCAAGTGAGAAAGGAGTGTAGAAGATGTAGGTTTTGTTTGGCCAGTATTCCGATCCTAGAGATAGCGTTAGCAGGTTGACTGGCTGATAGATGACTCCCGAAGACAAAACAAGAACTGGTAGGAGTAAAGCCGCTGCCATCGCGGCAGATGGCCCGTTCGCTATTGTTCTCAGCTTACCAAGCAAACGCTGGCCCTTTTGGGAGCACTAAGCACAACATGAATGCTTTGGATCTGGTTCAATGAGGCAAGATGCTTCGCTGAGCATCGACAGCTTTAGCCAATGAATCAGAGAGGGCCTCACATAGCCCCTATTGCCAAAAGCAAACTCGGCGCTAGATGATAAATTGTCCGCAATAGCCAGGTAGGCCATTCAACTTATCTCGCAAATGGTACGTATCCTATGCTTTGCATGTTTGTCGGGGTACGAGCCTTGCAAAGATTTTCGCATCGACTTGATATCTCTGCGAAGTCCTTGACCGTTGGAGTTGCGTCCAAAACGCTTACACTGAGTTGCCCGAGCCCCGAGCGCTCTCCGGCAGCCAGTGCAGCATTTTGTCCGAGCAGCGCGACAGGTCCTGCTCTCTTGGGAGCACATTTAATCAAGTTCCATAAACAATAGTAGCCATCGTAACTTGTTGGAAATTCTTTTCCATCTTTTCGTTTCTTAGTTGTAATATAGCATTTATCAGAAAATAAAAAATGTCGTAATATCTCACCTTAATTAATCTCTACCGAATCTGTCCGTTGTACTTAATGGCCATGATTCTATGACCTCTCAACCCGACTATAAGAACCTTCCCTCATCTCTGCTACATTTTTAGGCGCTCAATCCTACCTTTGGCCAGGTCGCTGGTTTGGAAAGAACAAGAGTGAATTTTTCCCTAGCATGTAGGGTAGGTTACGTGGTGCCATTTTAATTTCATATAGTGCTTTATCCCTTCCAACTTAATCACATCATTGATGTAGGCTATCACTTCTCTATTGAAGACTGGCGCGAGAAGACTGGAGTTATGTGTGATATCTTAGTTTCTATTGTTAGTTGAGGTGTTAGAGTTGGAGTTGAGCCTCTTTTCGCCAGGCTCGTCCAGAAGTGCATCGGCGATAGTGGAGTCAAATAATTCATAATCTCACTGCATAACTTTAGCTTTGCTGTTGTGCAATGCTGCATATCTCCACTATGGACCCCTGTAGACGGCTGAACCCGTTGGACCCAGATTCACCCCGCTTCGTTTCCCATTCTAGATCAGGCTAGGTTAGAGCATGACACCATGTATCTGGACTGCTCCTCTGGCAAATTTCATTGCTCCTGAGATAATGCAGCTGCTAAAGGCCCAGTACTTTGGTTGCTCCCCCGGTTAGCCAACCACTCCAGCGACAAGCCCTGGGGTTACTTCAGTGGGTGTCCACTGTACCTACGCTGCTGTGACAAGATTCATTGCTCCCCCGACAACGTTCCCCGGCTCTACTGAGGTGCCCTAAATTTTGTTTGCTCCTGTGATGGGTTGACCTCTGGCGGAAAGGCGTAGGGGGTCAATGCAGTGGACAATTCCATGTAGCTGCATTGCTCCTAGTTGCGGCAAAAACTATTGCTCGTGCGATAACGCTCACACTGGAACTTACCTACCTACACTTCAATTGCTCCAACGATTAATTTAATTTATTGCTCCAGCGAAAAACCACCACCCAACTCAGATACTGGACATTCGCCATATGGCAACACGTCAGTTATAGATATCGGCGATAGATCATATGCTCCTCTTTCTCTACCATCACTCAAACACAACCTGAGATTTAAATCGGACTTTCATCTATCATCTGATCAAGAATGTTCTCGTCTGATCAATCCAAAGTCATCTTGGTCTCCTTTCGTCAGGCTGATATTTTCGCTGACGTCGGTGCTCTCAGAGTATCTCGAGCATTTTGTTTACTTTTTACAGAATGCCCAACAACCAAATCTTACCGGTGATTGAAATTACTCCAAATTATCTATATACAAATTGTTAGTTGCCATCTTTCTATCTCTTTATCTGGTGCTCACTTTGATGTTATGGTGCGTTTGGTGACATCGGGTCATTCAGCTGTCATCAACAAGAATGCTCTTACCTGCAGGCCTCCCTTCGGAATAATTTCTTCCGACCCTCCATCAGCAGCTTCAGCCTCACTTTCTCCGCAACGCAGCTGGAAAGCGAGTCTGACAGTCTTTCAACCCCTCTTACTCATCCCAAACTGTCCTCAACAACAGAGACGCAATGGACCTCACGCAATCCTCACAAGCGGTTACATCTTCTGTACCTAAAAGGGGGGACCAGATATTGCAAAATGCCATCAACTCATTTCGGACCGTTCTCACACCCGAGCAGCTTGCCGAGTTCGACTGTATCGAATCTGTACCAGAAACAGATGCGGTTCTCGTATTCACGGCTGAATTAGATCTTCGACGACAAAACAAGAAAGGCAAAAGTATCGCCAGCCGTCTATTTCCCGTCCTTCAAGCAGTGCACAGCTTTACGTCTATCATCGATACGTTCATCTCATCAAACCCTACCATTGCAGCCCTTGTTTGGGGAAGTGTAAAAATGACAATGACAGTAAGTGTCCGACTGATGGCCTATATTTCTATCATGATTAATCATCACTAGATCATGCTCAATGCTGCGTCTTATTATGAAGCCTTTATTGAGCTATGTATTGAGCTTGGCAGGATTTGCCCCAGGTTTGAGCAATATCAGGCTCTGTTCCCCACCTCTAAACGCCTACAGGAAGCCTTGTGCACTTTTAACGCCTGCATAATCGATTGCTGTAGGCGCGTCATCGCAATGCCGAAAAGCTCGAGTGGCTGGACCTCACCGCTCAATCCACTCAATCCGTCGTTCTGGCAGTCATTTCAGCAGGTCTTTGAGTCTGATCTACAGAAGCTCCGTGATCATAGTAAGAACGTCAACAAGGAGATTAGGCTTGCAGCAGATCAGTCACAGTATCGGAACAACGAGCTCCAAAGGCTAGAGAATGAACAAGCCGACCGGTCCAGGCGGTCGCTCAGTCGCTTCATGTCCCGCACGCGTGATAACTTTGACACAATGCACAGGTTACAGATCATGAAAAAAGAGGAATTAGAGAGTGAGCTTGTACAAAAGTGGAGAAGAAGAATGTTATTAACACATTCAAGGACAAACCAATCAAAAGCTTCTGGACTCTTTGTCTTCTTATGACTACATCAAACCTCTGAAACAAGCCCGCCAGAAGCGGTACCCCAAATCAGCAGAATGGATCTTCAACACAGACGAGTTCAAACGCTGGGTCAATGGGAATACACCAAACTTGCTCTGGTGTTCTGGGAAAAGTAAGCCTTGCTTGTTCCTATTGATCTTGTCTCTCTAACATTTCGTAGTGGGATCGGGAAAGTCAATCATCTCGTAAGTATGTATACGTGAACTTGAGTTGCCACTAACGACCGTAGTGCAAGTGTAATCGACTACTTTTTGACTCACCGATCTAGCGCTCAAAGCTGTGTAACATTCTTTTTCTCACGATTTGACGACTCAGAGTCAATGAGAGCTGAAACTATTATACGAGCTCTAGCTAGGCAGTTGATCACCATCCAGGATGTTTTAGGTGATACCAAGCAGGCTTTGGAGACCTTACGAAAAGCCCAGGAAGATATCTCATCGGAACTTTCTCGGCTCTTGACCCGTCTACTATTAAGAAAAGGTCCACCGTCGTGGATTATACTAGATGGTATAGATGAGTGTCAAAAAGAAGAGCGCCAAATAATCATCAAGGTGTTGATATCAATGCTGAATGATGGTGCTAACGCCAGGTTGTTTATCACCAGCCGGGATCATGCAACTTCTATCTTTAATGGAGTCTCTGCCAACCTAGAAGAAGTTTCTATGAATTGCTCTCTTGCCCGAGATGGCATGGCCCAACTAGTTGATCAGGCTGTGCAAAAGTGTGTTGATACTGAAGAGCTACTAGTTAGCGATCAGACACTTATAACCGAGATTAAGAACACTCTCACACAGCACGCTGACGGCATGTATGTTTCTAAGATCTCGCTGATACTGGCAGGAACTGATTTTAATTCTAGGATTCTCTGGGTAACTCTGATCCTTAGATACCTCTGCAGCCAGCCAAGCAACGAAAGGATCCGCGAAGGAATCGCTTTGAAGAATCTACCAAGAAACCTAACAGATATCTTTAACCGGGTTCTAGATCGAATTATCTCCGAAGAGAAAGATAATATCGTTCAAGCACTTCTTCCGTGGATAGCGGCAGCGAAGCAGCCACTAACGCTATCCCAACTCGAAGAGTGCTGTCTGATCAGTCCACTTCAAGAGTACACTATCCGAGATCGATATGTGAATGGAATTCATCTTATCGACACTTGGTTCCAAAGTCTCGTTGAAGTTGACTATGAGACAAAAACGGTTCATTTTATCCATGCCTGCGTTCAACAATTCTTTCTCACCACATCAGATAATCCGGCCTTTTCGAACTTTCGTGTTCGAATTCAAGATGCTGACCGCCACATGGGAGAAATTTGCGTTACATACTTGAACTTCAATGATTTCAAGACAACCTTAGCCCGAGTTCGTCCACCCCTGCCACCAATAGGTCCTGGCGAGATCTGCCAGAAGGCCCTCAGCAATGAGTGGGGTTGGCCTAGAACACTGAGGCTTTCTCAGAGAATTCGCGGTCACAAGCGACGGGCTGCTGATATTGATCGAACTACTGCTTCGTGTACAAGAGTGCCTGATGCAGGAGTTCAAGAAACGACAACCCTTGATCATCCATTTCTTGCATATGCTTCGGACCATTGGCTTTCACACTCGGTTAACTTCGACCAGGAGCATTGTCAAACATGGAGTCTATGGAAGAATATGCTGATGTGTGGGCATGAACTCGCTGCATCGCCAGTGTCTGAAAAACACCATCAGACTATAGATAAAGCTCTTGTTCACTGGGCTATTTGTAAACCGCACTCCGCACTTTTGCATATCGTCGCTGCTTCCACGGAGCTCATTGAACAACATCACCGGGCCCTGTTCGACTATGTGTTAGAAGAGAGTGATATCAAGCTTCTGTATCACATGGTGAATACTAACAAATTGGGCCCGGCATTCAATTCACTGTGCTGTAGAGCGGCAGGAGATGGCAGTCTTGAGATTGTCAAAGCGCTATTTGAAGCCGGCGTGAATATCAACATGCCGGGGTTCGGAAATTGGCTCCGTTCTCTCCCTCTCGGAGAGGCTGTTGCGCAAGGCCACATCAAAGTGATAGAATATCTTCTACGGCAGGGGGCAGACCCTGACTTGCTGATTGGGGATCGTCAGACTACTTCATTGGAATTAGCGGCAGAATTAAGTGAGTTGAAAAGTCTCCAGACTTGCAAGTTACTTATCGATGCTGGGGTTAACTTGAAGAATACTGAGGCACTGGTGAGGTCTTGTGATCGTGGCCACAAGGAAACGATAAAGCTCCTCCTTAGCGCGGGTGTTGATGTCAACACCGCATTTCCTGCGCGACGATGGTATCTCCGCTATGTAGGTAGTTAGGTCAATTATCGACACTCTCAGCATACGCTAATGAGAACACGCAGGACGGCGGTTCCTATGTATACGCAGAGAAAACGGCCCTACTAGAGGCTTTTTCTGCACTAAAACCAGAATTCGATATTATTCAGCTTCTAATTGGAGCTGGAGCCAAGATAAATATAGGAAGCCCACAGGAAGGTGGCTACAGACTCTTGCGAGAAGCGATCAGAAGTCGCGACTGCAATTTGGTGAAGATACTCATAAGAGAAGGCGCTAATCCAAGTGGGAGGCCTGGTCTTTATATTGATGATACTCCATTGGTATTAGCAATTGATGAAGGCTTGTTTGAAATCATTCATTTTTTGCTGGATAGTGGTGCCAAGGTTGAAGGTTTCAGCTGCATAGCTGAAAGAATACCGGATCGCTTCAAAAATGGAAAAGACTATGAAGAGCTATCAAGCAGACTAAAACAAGCAGACCAAAAATAGGTAGGGTTGCTTCTTCCTATCTCTATAAGATAACTTAAACTAACTTAAGAAAAGAGCCCTCCTCTTTCATTTCTAGTTATCTTATACACATCCTGTTGCCTGCCCTTACGTATGACTTAAAGCTTGGAGTAAGGAATCTGATATACGTGACTGTGACACTTATTAAGTAAATAGAGCCTTCCGCGCAGCTAATCAACCGGAGCTCGTTTGCTACACCGGGGTTATGGAATGATTCCAAGCCCGCGCGGATGCTAGTTTCAGTGTTCAAGGCCGCATTAGGGTCATGGTTTCCAAAGCAAGATACGGCAGATGACTGCTGAGACTATAAAGGGCTTGCCTGGCTTACCATCGTACAAGGCAATATACAACATGCAGATCGCGGCACTTTCATCCATGTAGCATAACGAATCGCTCGGTGCAATATTCACCCTCAGAATTCTATTACGCTGAACAAGGTATACTTGCTGTGATTTCAAAACACTGTCTGGGAATTAAAAGCTTTCTCAGCCCTCCATGCCAGTTCCATGCCTCCAGTAGGGCTCACTTGGCATAGATAAAATCAAAAGTTACTATCCCAATGTTCTTCGGGACATATCGTCTTGTGATGCATTTTCATGAACTATTGTCGGGTCACATGACTTCAGCCCTCCTTGGCAAGCTACAAAAGTCAAAGACTGCCAAGCTTTTGTCAACGCAGCGTACAATTAATAAGTTGACAAGTGTGTAATAACGCTCGTGAAAGCTTCTGGGTAAAAGCTCATATTAAGGGAAAAAATACCGTATTCTCATTCGTCAACTGTATTTGCAGCCTAAAGGTTAACCTTATAGGCGGCAGTCATCACCATAGTGTAATAATGCATGTGATTATACTGACGGCCATGCGACTGACGAAAGAAGCAATGGAATGGAGTTCCTTGATCATTTTATTCTTCACTCTGATGTCGTTCTCATACTCATTGTCACCTATGAAGATGTCATTATCTTTGACTATATAGTTTTACCTCATTCTATATTCTTTTTATTCTCCCTGATGCCAAATTAGAACTAAGCATAACCTAGGCTATGACCGATATTTAAAGCCAATTACCTCCACAGCGACAACAGGGGTCGGAAGCGCATAAGAAGCAGAAAGCACGGAACTTCCAGCTCTCTGATCTAGGATGAGGATGTAATTTAAAACCAAAATGTGGTTTGAACACCATTAGGCATAATAGAGATGGATAGAGCAATATGCCTTGCTAGCCCTTGATAACAGAGACAATAAAAAACCTAGGAAGCATCATCGCGAGTTTCGGATGTTTCATCTTTGAGGTTGGAGCCTTTGGATCATTTCGCCTGGTTCTGGCGGGCTGTCGTGTGTGCGAAAAATGGCCATCAGTAATGCTCAGGAAGAAGATCATAATCTAGTTGTTTACGTGACAAGAAGGTGTTGGCTCAAATCCCGACGAACGGGCAACTGGATGTTACCGCTCAAGAAATAAAATCTCGATACGATCGTACGACCGACTTTCATCCAGTAGCGGAATCATCACATTTATACTGTCCTCCTTGTTTCGAGCCCCAAAGGAAGTTCGTACGTCAAGCAGCTGTCCTCCAGGCCTCGTTCGTCGCTAACAGGAAAACCTGCCAAACCTTCCTCACTGGCGAATGCCATAGTCTGAATTTTAGAGTTCCCCGCCTCTCTTGTCAGTGATGCTATATGAATGCTCATGAGGATGAATGTTGAGGCTGTGGCCTGCTGAGATTTCACTTTATATGCTGAACCGCGAAACGCCGAATGAAACACTTCATGGAAGCCAGAGAGACCCAGTGCTCTCATAGAAACAGCATGAATTCGGTCGACGGTAGGTCTCAGAAGCGGATACGAGCGCAGTATTCCTCCATTTTCCAATTGCTTGCGGCCGAGATCCGCCATGAGATTTGGGACCTGGCTAGCCCATGCACCATTGAGGAGTATTGCACCGGAGATGACATTAGACACATCAAGCCGCACCCGTTCTTTTCTACTTGCCGCGAAAGTCGCAGATCCTACCTCCATGGTGCTACATACCTCGAAGCCACTGGACGTCCGAGAGATGCAGAACTAGCAAACATATTATTTCACTTCGACCGAGACCATTTCCGTCTATATTGTCTCGAGGCATTTTTATACACTGTCCACTACAGTCTAGAGTGGCTTCTTAAGTACCTGAGAAAGATGGTAGTACCGCCTGACAGTTTGCAGGACACAGAAAGGCTCCTATGCCTGCATCCCAAAGGAATGGAAATCCGAGTCTGTCTTGCTGATATTCCAAATCTTCTGATCGTCTTCCCGCCCTCTACATTCCGTCGCGCTTGTACCGTCGACCTCTGTGCCAGGCGGGCGGATGAATCTGATGGGACGTACGATGGCTTACCCTCCAGTCAAGCGCTTCAGAGAGAGGAGGAGTGGTGCCAGAAATGTCAAGTTGAGAAGGGAGAGAAGTTTCGAGATCTTTGTCCATCATGCCTCTAGGCGAAGGAAATCCACATAGCAGGGATACGTGGGCAAATATTGGTAGGGCTCTGGAACTGGGACCTGATGTTCGATAAAGACTTACCACAAAGGCCACCAGTTGAGGAAATGAAGATGGCCAGATTGCCAATGCTTGTATTTTTCCGTGAGGCCCAGCCAGCCCATGGATGAAGAGTCGTTGGAGCGACTCAGAGCTATGGCTGATGAGCCCGAACCCGAGATTCATTGCGAGAAACATGAAATCGACCCAAAATGTGTCACTGGCACTTGCATACACTAAAGGTGACTGGATGTCTATCAAGAAATATAAAATAAGGAAGGCATTTATATTAAGGGGTGCTTCGTTCAACCTTGTTGACATGCCCAGGAAGTGAAGTTCCGTATAATGAATCGTGAGCACCGTGATATAAATTGATCAGCCATGGTCACAATGAGAATACACTCGTTGAAGGTATTTTATCATTCTTTCTGGCCCTAGGCTATCTCAAAAAGGTGGAACCATCCGACCTTGCCTGGCCTCCTCATCATGAGCTGTTCTTGATGGAGCTTCCCGGCAAACCACCCCTGAGGGGTATGGGGTTGTTCCTCTCAGTCTTTCTTTGAACAAGTTCTCACGAGTGTAAGCAATGGCATTAGAGCGATTTCAACATCACAAGGCTTTTTCGGCTGCCACGCGATCCTGTTAAAGCCGGCATTGGGGTCGAGGTCAAACTCAGAAACGGAGAAGGAGCGGAACTACATTCAATAGGATGGCTACTAATGTTTCGACCCGTTTCTTCGGTTCTTTCTATCAATTTGGATTAGATCTTAGTCAAAACCTCTGGAACTTCTGTCCTTACATTTCTACGGCCATCTTATATACTAGAGTGATTCAATGGACCCTGCTGTTGAGTGAGCAGTAATACCTGCTTAGCCTCGAAGGCCTCACTTCTAAAACCTTGCACCATAACAAATGTACCGTCAGCTCTGACCCTGGGGCGCCTTTGGGTTAATACCCTCATGATGTTTGACAGGTTCGATGACCGAGAGCATAAGACGTTGTGTAAGCGCACCAGGCTTGTTTATGGGGTAGTTGTTTCTTCCATTCTGAAGAACGGTCTTCCCCAAATATCATGAGTACTATACTTCAGGTCTCATGTATGGACTGTTCCGTGAATTGCATTTACATAGTGCTTGCTAAGATAACTGGTGTTATTATCCTGATTGAAAGATCGTTATAGGACCAAGCGACAATATGTTCAGAACCTGGAATAGAGACTTCCCGTCATCTACACTTGAGCTTATAAGATGGCGAAAATTTGTGGACGAGTACTGGAAGAGGGCGGAATCCTGCTATAAAGTTTGGATTATGTATCCATATTTTGCCTCGGCTTTTATCTGTCGATGATGCCAGTTAGGACAAAGACACCCCTGCTTGATCATTCGTGATGTTGGGACAGAAGGACCGTGGCATTTTCTTCCAGTCCTCCAGCTCCTTTCTGTTAGTAGCATCGCCAGAGAGCTGTAGTGGCGTCCATAATGCAATACAGAATATCGCAAACCAGTTCTGTATACATGGATTTCTTCGGTCAATTATACATAATATTGGTCATCTACCTCACTCAAATCATCAATTCTGGCTGATCTTGCAGTCCAATATCAAGATCTTGGGGGAGGTTTTACGGATTGGATGTCATACACCAACGTGTAGCCATATCTCTCCGTCTCTCCTTTGTCCTTACCTTAGCCGAAAGTCAAGCGGGAAACTGCTTCTCTTCATCTAGTTGCAAGATGTTAGCCATCTTAGACTTGACCTCGACAGCTGTCCCACCGCACGGTTCAGAAAGTCTCGGCTGCTCGCTGTGGCTACTGGGAATGTCTGACACCTATCAGTGGGCCTGCAGCGCGAAAATGGCGGAGTATTTGCTTGCGATTGGTCTTATAGCATACTGGCTTTTGGTCTCTGCCAGGGCAGAGGCGCTAGAATAAGATAGTAGTCTTACGGTCGACAGAGCTTCCATAATCATAGAATTCTCAGGTCTACCACAATTACTCCACATCGACACTCGTCTGGTTCCCGTACGCATTGATGCGATGCTGCCCAGCCAAGACCTCCGCCGTTCTCTGCGATTGGCAGACGAGATATTTACCATAGAAACGCAGTTTTACAGGGACCAGGGGAGCTTTAATTGATCTCGTTCCTCGAGTCGCATTATCTTTGTCAACACGAGCTTGAATCAGCAGACAGAACTTAGTCGTCCTGGCTCTTAAGCTGAGTCTTTTCCTCCTCTCTCTTTACCTCATCCAAGTCACTATTCGCCTATTTTCCTTCATGGTGCCGTCTGATCCTAGGAATAATAGATGCTGCGTTATTCCAAGCGCAGAGGATTTCTCAGGTTACATAGGTTGACTTAAATATTCCAGAAGAATTATGATCGACAGTACGGCTGTACTTTTGCCAAACTGGGACAGGACACAAAAGCACCAGCTTATGTTATGCAAGCCTTGTCTACAAGACTATCTCCTCTCGGCCGGATTAAGCTCTCAGCCACAGGTCTCAGCGGCAAATGACACTTCTAGCTCACAACTTAGACTTTGAAGATCCCGGCCATGTCAGTATGATACTAGAGTGAGGGGTGTTAGGAGGTAAGTCAACTCCAAGGAGGATCTTCTGGTCTGTGTCTCTCCAGAAGCATCTCCTACAGCTCTTTTCGTTAGTAAAATAACATACTATATGATTCCAGTCTTCTCAAACTCTTCCAGAATTGGTCGAAAACGTCTATCACAATTGTTAGTCGAAAGGGAATCCCAAAAGATTTAGCAAGAATATTCCGAGCTCGGTTGACGCAATTACCCACCTCATCACATTGTCCTTTATCGCTACGGGTCCAAGTATTAATGCCTTGAATACATCAACAGTATATGTGCCAGTCATGAAGGCGCTGATGCTATTGTCCTGAGGGCCGTTAACGTGAGTTCTGTTTCTCGGGATTGAGTATGGGGAACTGAGATACACTGTGATCTTGGATAGATTCGTGATCAGTCTAATATACAGATACAAGCTGAGTTTACAAAAGCAATACGAACAAAGACACCTCAAATTTCAGTCTTGTATCTATATACTGAGCGAGAGTCGCGGGCATTCTGTAGTTACGTTGTTGTGCTCCAGCCTCTGGGATTCCAAAACCTGGATAAAGGTACTTAAAGTCATCGTGAAACCGCTTAGGTAGAAGCACATATTGATGAAAATCACATTAATTCCTTCTATTTTTCTTGTGTATCCGCAATTAAGTTTAAGCTTATACGAAGCAATCAACTCAAATTAATGGCATTACAGTTACAGTCTCCCGAGCCTCGGTATTGAGAATGGGGCGATTCTGAGCTTCAAAATCACGAGCTGTAGCATTTTAGACAGGCAGTTCTAGAAATCTGAATACAGTGTTGCTGGTTTTGATCATACATTTCGAGGGACTGAATATCCATTTCAGACTTGGAGGGCCATTTTAGGACTCCATTTTGAACTACTGTTGCTGAAAATTCTCTGAGAGCTGCATAGCAAGCCCACTAATGACAAGAAATTCAAGTTCACTCATCCAAACAGCCTTTTTCCCACATCCACGAGCCACTATGCATGGAAACTCCGAAGGTCCCGCCGTTGTGAGAGCCTCTGGAGTAACCTCGCAGACTTTTCACGGCATCTTGGCCACATTTCAAAGGAGGAACAAGAGCCGATCCGCTGTAAGCAAGTCCTGAGGCCTCACAGTCATCTCAAAGCTTGCGTTAGTTTTCCCGACGGCATGCCTTATAGCGAAGCAAAACGAAAATTATGAATTAGGCTTTGACCACAAACCAGCCAATCAATAGACCGAGCTAAGGACCTTACATTCTCTGTGATCTGTATCATCCTAAGTCTTGACAGAAGGCTCACGTAGACCTTTCTAACTCCGGCGTTCACAGTCTGTTTTTTGATGATGGGTGGTACTTCACGGCGATGTCTAAGGTCGCTTTACGAGGTAGAGAGGCAAAGCTTTATGACTGTTCCTGTGCTTCTGAGCTGCTGACTATCAACTCGTTAGTATTGACATTGACTTTCTTCACAAGGGGATGAGACATGGCATGCAAAGGCTTTGGTTTATGCTGCAGTTTCATCCGAAAGAAAAAGCATGTGTTCGTGCAGATCCACAGATTGTTCCCAGACAAATGTCAGTACATAGTCACGTCAGTGGCATCGCAAAACGCATATCTCAGAAATCTTCCGAAGCCCATTCATGGCTGGCAGATTGGATACCCGGGCCGCTGACTCTGCTTCGCATGGGGGCCAGAAGGCCAAGCCAGCGCTTACTACTAATTTAATCTTTTTCCTTTTTACGACATGACTCCCCCAATTTATCCGTCCACTTCCCGCGAGTAGCCATATGACTATGCTTCAAATGCTGCCGAAAGTGATCCGCTCGGTAAAATTTCTTCGTACTGTTGCACTCCTTAAACTTGTGAACCTCTTGCAAGTGCCTTATGCGTTCATCCCAATCTTGTTCTGTAGGATAGGTCCCGTTCCCGGCCGCACCAGAACGTGGAAAGTCATCGCCACAAAATCCGCATGTGTCACATTTTTTGGGTTGCTGACTTGACTCCTGAAAGGCGCTGTCGTAGCCTGGTAGGTTTGAACAGGACCAAGAGTGTTTTCTAATATGCAGCGAGTTCTGATGCCTCTCTGCTTCCGCTTGTGACTTGAATCTATTGCCGCAGTATGAACACTCGAATTGTTTCTCAGACTCGTGTGCTCTATTACACTATTAGTGAAGGCGAAGATGACATGACTAAGAGGCTTACGCGAGTTCTTCTGGTGTATCAAACTTTTTCGGTTTCTTGGGGCAGCATTCACACACGAAGAATCCTATAACCTTTGTCCCTCCGAAGTCTTGGGAATTAACAGGTGTCCCTCTGAAGTCCTTGGAATTAACAGGCCTCGGACTCTCGAGTCTTGGGGAGAATCGGTCGTATCCATCGTGGCTACTGGCAGAGCCGAAGCTGGCGACACTGACTTGTCTTCTGGGTACGCGGTTAAGGCTTTGGGGGCTCTCGCCTCGCCATCTTGGGCGGGACATTAGAGGAGGGTGTTCTTGAGGATCAACTTGGGGTATTGAAAGAGGCACGGGAAGCGAACTCCGTCGTGTCTCACCTCCCGATAGCTGATGACTCGGATAAAGAGTAGATCTTTGAGTATCAATTGTTGATGCTGGGAGGTCCTTTGTAAGAGGACTCCCTCGTCTCTTTTGACCACGACTGAATCGATCGTGAAAAGCGCTGATCCATGAGAAAAGCCCTAAGTCCTCCAAGAAATCAAGCAGTTCTACTCCCTCCGACACATCCTCTCTTAGCGATTTCCAACGATCCCATGTTATTTCATCATTAAGACGATCGAGAATTGGAGTTATATCAACCCCGTCGACGGGAGCTAGGCGAGCGTGTTCAAACATTGCGAATGTAGCATACGAGAGTAGCGCAGGGTGGTCCTCTAGAATCTGGGAGCGGGGTATGTCAGAGACATCCGAGAATGGAGCCCGTGGAATATCGATTAGCAAATCCGACTCATCAGTAGAAGTGTTGCTCTCTTCTAGCCATCGATGTACTGCCATGAACGGGTGTGACTCAGGGGAGCCTGTTATAGATTTCTCTGGTCTGCTATCATTCCCTGGTATAGTCTTGCGACGTAGAGGTAGAGTGATTGTGCCTTGTGGTGGACGCTCCTCATATCCGAGAGAGCAGTCACTATTCGAGTCCGTTAATGAAGCTGGCCTTTTTCCTTCATTTTTGTCCTTCCCTCGATGGGTAAGTCGTTGCCGTGCCCTTACCAAGGCATCGAGCTCACCGATGTTCACATAGTCCAGACAAGTGGCCATGATAGACAAGTGTCCACGACCAATAGCATGGGTCGAGAAACTCGGGTCCAGCGCTGAGAACCCATTGCCTCTCAAGAAGAAGTCTCGTACTGACTCGTGGATTACCTGTACGATCCTAGTACCTCCGTGTTCAAGGGTTAACGATCCCGCGTCTACACCCACTGACGACACGTCAGAGCCTGAGCCATGCGGCGGGACCTCGATCGCCCCTGTTACCTCGATCAGTCCCAGAGAAAGAGTATTGATCTGTTTCACCAGCTGCTCATCGGTTGCTGTAAAGTAATCTGATGCTCGCCATTCAGCAAGTGACGTTGGTGTAGGATGCCTGATAAACCCCATTATGTGATGCCACTCGTGAAGACGAAGTGGTTTTGTGGATAAGGTAGCCCACTGGAATATCTTCACAGCGATGTTCTTCCTTCCGGGTGTGAAATGTGACAACATCTCGGAGAACAGAGTCTCAAGAGCTTGCGGGGTGTTTTGAACACGCTTGGTCAAGTATTCGAGACTCCTGCCTTCGTCCCAGCTTCGAAGCAAGTCGTCAACCACCAGGACTACCCAGAGGAACATGCCATCTGACCTTTCTCTGATCTTCTCTTCCAAGACTTGCCATTGGGCGTTTTGGATGCCAATTCCAATCTCGATCCTCTGTTTTAGATATGTCGAGATGTCGTGGCCGTTGTGTTGTTCCATGATGATTTCTGGGCAGTCACTCACAGTGACAGAGGGGGAATGCCGACTCGATAGACAGACTTTTAGATCGATCCCGGAAGCGAAGGCTGACTTTGTGATCTTCCGCCAGAAGTAAGCTAGATCTCGCACATTGCCTGAGTCACACTCATCCAGAGCATCGACGAAGATCGATAATTTGCTGCTTCTTTTCTGGAGAATCATCTTTTCTAGCGCTGCCTTGAGTTCAGCTTCTTGCCAGGCAATAACTTCTGATGCCATGAAGCACCCAGTCTTGGTCTTTGCATCACAAATTTCTTGGAAAGATTGCATGACAAGGGGATTCTTGGAACAAAGCTGATAGATCAACGACCGAAAAAGACCGACAACTGAGTGTTCAAGTTCATCGCCTTTGCCGCTAAAGAAGAACGCCGCTGTTTGAGATGGCACTGATGCTTCTGCTTGTCTTCGGGTTGCTCGACGGAACGCTTCTCCCATCAACATTGACTTTCCGGAGCCCGGTTTACCTTTTATCCAGATAAGTCCTTGATGTCTTTCCTGATTTCGTCCGTTTAGCCAATCTTGAAAGTTTTCATCATCAAAAAGCCAATGACATGTCTGGTCAGCTGGGCTGCCCAAAGTCTCGTAGCGTCTATTGATGGCTGGAAACCACAATGACTGGAGCCATGCTTTACCGGCTTGATCCTGGAAAGTGTGCCCGGAATGTTGAGACACCCCAACACTCGGCACTGGGCTGTTCCTTTCTCCCCAGCGTCCAAGTGACTCTAGTTTGTTAGTTGTCGTAATCAAAAGGTAGGTAGAGCGGATCTCGCCAGCGACTTTGCGATAGTTTGGGTCGTCTTTCCCTGAGTACCGACACATCTCGAGATGATCAGCTTGCAGTGTCTCAGCATGTTCTCGATGATTTCCAAGGAGCGAGGAGTATTCAGGAACAACCTTCTTCCCCAACTTGGGGAGAATGAGCCCTTCTTGGAAAGTCTTGACCCGAAAGTTATTCGTATGCCAAAGCCGGGAAAACTCCTCCTGTGCTCTCTCCAGATCTGTGTTCTTCAGGCCGAGGGAGTCTAGAATGACTGGAGTCGTGGCTACTCCTAAGGCACTGAGCAGCGACCGAGCTACTTCCCCTTTAGCGGCAATGTCTACACTACCGCGGTGTGGTGTGCCAAGGAAAATAACTGCTTCGACCGACTCAAGGATATTTTGATGCTCACATCGTGTGGATGATGAAGATCTCGAAAGCATCTGCAGGATAGATTAATGGTTGAAATAGAATTCCACCAATTGACATACCTCCTTGAAAATAATGCCGCCGAGGCTGTGAGCTACACATATCAGAGGACGATGGAGGGGCCTCTCCAGGGCAAGCGCAAAAAGAAGATCTTTGGAATGTGAAAAGACACTATTCTCACTGACTGCGCCAGCCGAGTATTTAGTTATCTTGCTATCATATCCAAACACGAGAATGCGTGAATCTGGGAAGTCCTTGGAGAGAAGGTCGACAGGCCAAAACACCACGGCGGGGTTGGCATCGTCGTGCAATGCGTCAGGCCTAGGTTCTGTTGCCGTGTTCCGAGATGTTCGATGGAGGCGATCCAGAGCGCGACCGAGGACACTCCTCCGAGAACTCTTCCTCGATGGCTCAGAGGTTGTTAACGGCTCTTGTATCCCGGGGGCCTTTTTGGAACTAGTCCATGTCTTCCGAGGATGACCACCGAGGCCGTGTACGAACAGGATGCTGACTAGTCAATAGAAAGCACTAGAAGCACCATGAGAACGTACTCTACAACTGGAGCGCTGTCTTCAGGTTCATAAACGATAGAGATTCCGGTATCTCGAATGAAGCTCTCCATGTTAGAAAGATGTGGCACTGCGCTATGTGACTGGAACAATGGTGCCCAGCAAACCCGACGGCGGGGTTAATGCTTACCTCTGTGAACGTGGTTGTTGATTGGACGACCTCAGCAACCCCCACTAATCACAATGTTTCCATCTTGAATTAACGTGCATATTTAAGAAAGGTTGGCAAAGGTGCACTATGGCTAAAATATTATCTACGCTCTCACGCTTATGGTTGTCTTGGCTGTGATGGCGATTCCAGCAGAAGCCGGTTAAGAGTTCTGCATGGAATTCACGGCAATATCGCATTACAATTTCCCAATCTGGACTAGTCCGCCCTTGGTATTTCCACAGTCGTCTACCTACCTAACCTGGGGCATATGGGACTAAGGCCTTGTGGGCACTGACGAGATAGATTCAACCAAAAGAATTACTAGGTTAGGTGCCCAGTGGAATTTCTATTCATTATAGACAGTTTGTAAAGAAGCGTTTCCAGATCAGTTCCTGTGATGAGCGTTTATGAGCTGGTAGCTTTCCCCAGTTGCAGCTAGATCAGAACTATTTCGTGGCATCACCGACCAGCATGGCCAAGACGATGAGCGAAAAGAAAGAGAAAAGAAATACCTAAGGTCGAGCAAATTTACATTGCAGAAAAATGGTCTATGTGTGAGGGGATGAGTGGCTGATTGTACTGAAGTGGGCGTAATACTGAGGTTTCAAGAGATGTTTAATGTGGGAAGAAATAATCTTAAGATGAATTTTAGTGGGACAAGAGGTGAGATAAATTGTGTGGAGCAACGACGGCTCACGTCTGATAAAGGTATCTTAAGATGGATGCGAGATAAGAAAAGCAAGCTAAGATAAGCTTCGTCAAGCTAATTTGGGCCGCAGTTTTCCCGAAAGATGAGTCGCACACGGGCCACAAGAAGGGTTGACTGGGCTTGTGGTCCATGCACAATTCCACTTTACGGAAAGCGCAGATCATTAGTCACTACGAGCATTCAGTTTTGATCGAAAGAGCTTGATTCTTCAATTCAAGGTGGTGGTCAGATTGACCTTATGTGTAGCCGTTTGCCTTATAAATACTTGTAAACTCGCTAATAACCTGTGACACCTCAGCCGTCAATACTTTACCAGACACCTAAGTCACCATGTCCTGGGACTAGTATCATCTGGGGTCCCGCCGAGTGCATCTCTGTACAGTGGCACGAGTCTCCATTTCTGAGAATATTATCAACCTCGTCCCCAGCAGTCGCTTTCAAGTCTTTCTGATACCTTTTCAAGGCTTTTTATTGTCTCACATGGCCATGAGGATTTTCCCCTTCTTTGTAGGGTATATGTGGGGCGAAGCCTGTTTTCAGATCTTGACTTGAACAGAACAATTGTGTTGTTGTGTACAGTCCTCGTAAGTAAGCTATGGCGTCCAACATAATCCACAAGGTACGGTATACTACTGTTGAAGGAGACCACAGTACCTTCAGTCCAGCGAAACAACTTCACGGTTTGAAGGCTTTTGGGCCGGTCGCGGGGCCTGTTTAAGTGCCTGATGTCACCCTCTTACCGAGAAACATGGCACTAGAGCACAAGGTCGTCCTCACGCAATCAAGGCCTCCAGTGCCATAGTAAATCTACATCGGGTTGAATCAGAGGTGAGAGCTTGTAATGCTCCCATATGCAGGCTCATCGCCAGACATCACTCGTTTCAATCTCGTATTAGTTATACGGCATCACCTCCGCAGCCTAGCCATGAAATGTGAAGAAATCTCAAGTATTTACTCATGGAAGCCAGATTATGTTGAACACCGGGCTATTCTCGGAATGCCGAAGTTCGGGATGCCATACTTTGAGGTACCATGATTTCGAAAACTTAAGTGAGGCCAAGCCAACTCCGAACTGCAGCAGCTGGGCAAGCTAAAAGAAAAGCTCACACGGCACCCAAGCCGGCATCTATCTTTGCCATCCTAGCAATGAAATATACGCAACGGGATAACACATACTAGGTGGCATTCTGTCGATACACAAAGACACAGCAGGCGTCGGATAAAATAGCTAGAGTCATGGATGTTCAATAAACCAGGTGCGGTATCTGGGGAGAATGTATATAACTGTGAGACTCTGTACTGACAGCGATTGCGTATCGCTGAAGTCCATGTGCCGGAAGTCCGAGCCCTCAGTAATGTCAACAGGAATCCCACGACTTCCCGGACCGCCGATTATGATTTTGAGCCTGAGCGTAATAAAGAGATGTTGGTGGTATGCTGAGCCTTTTACAGACTTTCTATATCTCAACCTGTGAATCAAGCGGCCCTTCCACATACACCTGCAACAATTATGCTGATGACAAAGCATGCAAAATAATGATATACCTAGCGGAAGAAACCAAGCAAAAAAACTAGGCATGTTAACGCATTACGCGATGCCACTTAGATTTCTGGCTTGGCCTCGATGTATAGGGTTTTAGTTCGATCTCAATACTAGATATTTTGGCCGACCACGATGTCTTCATTCAACTCACAGCAGATTCCCATGTTTTACGAGGGCTGTTTACTCCGACTCGCTGTCACCGCGACACTAAGCTGCATCTCTACTCAAATCGCGCAAGTTTCGTTCCCACCACCTGCAATTTCAAGTCAACTGACAAATGCTTCGTGAAGACTGCCCCCATCAAGGAAAGTCAAGTAAAGTAAGAAGATTGTCCTAGCCGTGCTGATACCTTGCTAAACAGGATAACCCCATACACTGTCTATTGGGTGGGTGAAAGACAGATTGAAAGGTTCTGACTTGTCGTACACGGATAGTGATGATAGGTATGTGTATGATTATTGCTTTGTCTGATTGAAGCAATCAACTGGCTACATACAGGAACACCGATAGCTCCCACGCAATATGGTGATGCACAGAGTGGGTAGAGTCCACCAAGTCAAGATCTATTTGCAGCAGGACCTCCCATTTCCTGACGGTTTGCGATAGACTATAAAAGAATCTCCAAGTTTTAGGAATCCAAGACCGTCTCCTTCTACGTTCCCAAGCACAATCTGACTCTTGAACAAGTCAAGACATCCATTAAGGCAATCAAGAATGATAAGAGGATATTTGCGGGCTAGAGATGTAAGAAGCATAAGATGTAAATCCCGGCCGGCTCAAGAGAATGAACGTCTTGCATGAAAAGCCCAAGAACTCAAGACACAGGCTTCAGGAACTCCCATGAGGTCTGACTGCCGAAGAAATCACTTATACCTTCGAGGACCCGTTGAACATCCCTGTTAAGTGAAGGCCTTACTCAGTCAGTCACGTCGATATGTCAGGCCAGGCGATCACAGAACACCCTCAGCTCGGGGTAAGAGAACAATACCACCACGTCGCCGAACACCTTATCTTCTCCGCCAATCGCATACAATGTAAAAGCGAAACGTACCACGTCATCGTGAACAGCAAAGAATTGGGACACCGTCGATGTTGGATGACGCTGGTATTAGGCATAAGTCGTAGGAAATTTGGAATTGGTCCGGCACATAGACTGTGCCTGGTCAGCAATACCAGATCGTCAATAAGGACTAATCGATCGCTCGCTTGATCAGGCTTTGGCCTCAACAGACCAGTTGGGTTTGGCCAAGAGTATCATGCGTAGCTATCAATATATATATTTAGCTCGGGTGAAGTTATTGATGGCAAGACTATTGATCCGCCGAGTGGGAAACTCTTTTTGAGGTGTTCCGACTGTGAGCCAGCACCTCGGGCCTCCCGTATTTAAAGGTCTCCTACCGCCGTCCAATCTTCTGTCCCCGCATTTAAGTAATCACACTGCATCCGCTTGGAAGGTTGCTTGCGCCGCTTGCGAAGAGAAGAGCAATTGCGAGCATGGCAGTGAAACAACATCTACTGAAGGCTCACCGTGCCAACACTGAAGTTCTGTTCTCCAATGTCAGTAAGAGCTCTTTGACCGGCGTCTGGAGGATCTCGATGATGAGGCTCGAGATAACCCCCTTATCATCAGCCGAAAGGAACTGTGGGAAACCTGACACATGATTTTGACGGCAGCTACAGTAGCGGCTATTAAGAGGATCCTGAGAACGCCTTGCCTAGATCTGAGGTATAGCGACCAGCCTCAGACCACTGAGGAAGCCTCGAGGACAGCTCTTCAAGAACAGTTCTGTGAACTTGGTCTAACAAGGGTTAAATTCCTCTCTGAGGGGTTCTTTTGCTTACACGATGAGAATCTAACTAGTTGGTTACATATTGTACGTGCTCGATTAATGACACGTTCCTCTGCACCGGATGAATTCTGCTCTGCCAACGGAATAGCGATACAAAGGGAATAAGGTAGCAGCTCCAGGATCCGGCAACACTGCTCCCCGCAAAAGTCTTATTTACTCCAATCAGTCAATCATGAAAGTCCTTCTCGCCTTATTCAGAAAGCTTATCAGGCTGATCAAGTTTAGTCAAGAGGTCTACTATACCTAGAAATCCGCGAGCAAGGCGATGTGAGCACCGCGATGTATTAAGGCCTCGCCAAAAGGCACGGGCCGAGAAAAGAAGGTACACGAAAGCTGGCGATTCAAAACAGGCTATAGCATGGAATTTGTAATGGGGGAAGAGGACTTCTGCCTTTTCCTCTGATCTGCGACCTACAACGCTCCGTTACGGTGAAGGAATGTAGAAACCTTGGTGGTTATCGAGGGGATGGTTGATGCTGGTGATGGTCATACCAGAGACTTATTGCGCCGAGGGAGATATCTGAGGAGATAATGCATTCAGGATGTGAAGTAAAGTTTAATGGCTGATTGTGCGGAGCGTGGATCAAGTTCCTGACTGCGTTAGATGGTCTCATCAAAACTCGTTGGTAGCGACGGGTTTTATGGTAACGGCAGATACTTATTCTTTCAATATAATCGTACAGAAGATCTATAGCTTCTCACAGCAAATGAGTCCTTTAATGGGCTCTTTGGCGAGGAGCAAGCACCAAACTGGCCTTGGTTTAGTTCAGACAGCAAAACCCAGGTTTCCAGGCTTTGGT